GGAGAATCACTTGAACCTGGGAGGCAGAGGTTGCTGTTAGCCAAGATCACACCACTGCACTCCAGCCTGGGTGACAGCGAGACTTTGTCTCAAAAAAAAAAGAAATTGGCAACCCATGTTCAGAAAAGGGGATATGTTTCAGTAAGAAAAATATTAATAACTCAGTAGAAAGATGGATAAGGTAAACTGTATACCAAAAGGAAATTCAAATGTCATTTTAAAAATAAGATGTGCTTGCTTGTACTCCCAGCTACTTGGGAGGCTGAGGTGGGAAAGAGCCCAAGAGTTCAAGGCTAGCCTGGGCAACTTAGTGAGATTCCATCTGTAAAAAATATAAAAGAATGGCTGGGCGTGGTGGCTCATGCCTGTAATCCCAGTACTTTGGGAGGCCAAGGAGGGCAGATCACGAGGTCAGGAGTTCGAGACCGGTCTGACCAACATGGTGAAACCCCGTCTCTACTAAAGATACAAAACATCCGCTGGGCATGGTGGCACTGCCTCTAATCCCAGCTACTTGGGAGGCTGAGGCAGGAGAATCGCTTGAACCCAGGAGACGGAGGTTGTAGTGAGCCAAGATCGTGCCATTGCACTCCAGCTTGGGCAACGGGGTGAGACTCCATCTCAAAAAAAAAAAAAAAAAAAAAAAAAGGGTAAAACAATAACACGTGCTCAACCTCACCTATAATAAGAGAAATGCAAATTTATATTATATAGATACCTTTTCCATGTTAGCAAAGATCAAAAAGTTTGGTGTCAGTGCTGGCATGCGTATGGGAAAATAGGCAATCATTCTCACACATTTCTGGTTGGAATGTAAAGTTGTACGGCTTCTGTGGAAGGTAGTACCCATCAAAATAGTAAAAGAATAGCTGGGCATGGTGGCGTGTGCATGTAATCCCAGCTACTCAGGATGCTGAGGCAGGAGAATTGCTAGAACCTGGGAGGGGAGGTTGCAATGAGCCAAGATCCTGCCATTGCACTTCAGCCTGGGTGGCAGAGCAAGACTCCATCTCAAAAAATAAATGCATACATACATACATACATTCTTTGGCCTAGCAGTTTCATCAGTAGGAATTTTTTACACACATATAATCAGACATGTGCAAACAGACCTATGAACGAGATTGTTAATTTGTGGTATTGCTTACGGTAGCAAAAACATGGAGACGGGGACTTAGAAAAAGATCTAGAAGGATACAACCCAGCTTTAGCCATGAGATGTGGAATGGTGATTGCAGAGATGATTACCAGTTTGGGCTGAACATCAGAATCATCTGTGGCGCTTTTAAGGTTCTATTGCCTAAGCTAGGTGCAGTGGCTCACAATTTTGTAATCCTAACACTTTGGGAGGCTAAGGTGGGAGGATCACTTTGAGCCTAAGAGTTCAAGACCAGCCTGGTTAACACAGTGGGACCCGATCTGTACAAAAAATAAAAAAATTAGCTGTGTGTGATGGCATGTGCCTGTAGTCCTAGCTACTTGGGAGGCTGAGGTGGGAGGATTAGTTGAGCCCAGGAGGTTGAGGCTGCAGTGAGCTGAGGCTGTGCCACTGCACTCCAGCCTGGGTAACAGAGCGAGGCCCTGTTACACAAAAAAAGTTCTGTTGCTCATACCAAGTATATCAGAATCTCTGGAAGTACAGCTGGGACAGGAGTAATTTGTAACGTTCTTCAGGTGATTCCATTGTGTAACTGTGGCTGAGAATCACCAACCAGAAAGAAACATTCTATCTACATCTATTGTTTTTTAAAGAAGAAACGGGTATTCTTTAAAGAATTTAAAGAAGAAACATGTCTTTTAAAGAAGAAAACATGTGGTCAGGAGTTCATGACCAGCCTGGCCAACATGGTGAAACCCTGTCTCTACTAAAAATAGAAAAAATTGGCCAGGCGTGGTGGCGGGTGCCTGTAATCCCAGCTACTCAGGAGGCTGAGACAGGAGAATTGCCTGAACTTGGGAGGCAGAGGTTGCAGTGAGATGAGATCGCACCATTACACTCCAGCCTAGGCAGCAACAGCAAAATTCTGTCTCCAAAAAAATTAAGTAAATTTTATTTTGTAGAGATTAGAGTTCTGTTTTGAGGAAATTCATACAAGACAAAACACCTTTTCCTACTAAGCTGAATAAGCAAGTATACTGAACATATCATTTAAAGTCTTTTTGACATGGATTGCATCAAAAAAGAGTGAAAGTTATTTTGAATGTTGGAGTTAAAGCAATTTTCTAGTGCATTGGTCCAGTGACTCCTTTTTATAAAAATAAGGAATTCTTATAAAATCATATATTTGTGTGCTTAGAAACACACTCAAACTCCATTTTGGCTTGAACTTTATAACCTCTTGTACCCATCGTATATTCTTGATGTGTCTGTCTAGAAATTATTCAGTGTCTTTTAGCCCCAAAGCAAGACCCACTCTTGAAGGGGGAATCTCATTTGTATAAGTCATGGGCTATTCAAACAAACAAAGTGTTAATTATAAGTATGGCTGAAAATATTTAACTTTCTTTCAAAGATAATATGCTTTTAAGGAGTTAGATATCTTATTTCTTTGGACTGAGCACTTAAGTCAAATACTAGCTTTTCAAGATATTTAATGGCATGATGCTCTTGAGTAAAATAGTTAATATCAAAGGCAGGGAGACTTAAGAGAGGAAAGTGTACTTTTAGCCACCATGGAAAGAGAGGGTAATGATTTGGAGTTAATGGGGGAGAAAAAGTGTCCAGTGGAGTGCTGCTCACCCAGTGGGTGCTCAGTAAATGATTGTTGATAATGATGAAAATATGGAAACCAAAATGTTGACCCACAAGGAAGTGGACATTATCCCATCTAAATGCTGATTGGACCATTTATTTTTGAAATAAAATAGTCTTTGGAAGAAAAATGGATATGTGTCTAGCCCTAAGACTACAAATCTTAAATAGAAATTATTTTCTGAAATTTATGTTAGAATTGGAAAAAAGACAGTTGTGTAACCCTAGTTAATATGGCACAAAAAGTAAAGCAGTAAGTTTCCACATTAAAAATATATATAATTAAAAAATAATCTGCTTCATTTTAAGTTTATTTAATCATGTTTTAAATGTATCAAGAGTTTTATATTTAAAGCAAATGTCCTTACTGAATTTTTTCCAATGAATTCTCTTAAAGTAGAAGACACATTGCCATTTAGACCACCTCTTAGTTATTGCATTGGTGTAAAATTCAGCATTATACATGGTAGAAAAGCAGGGTGTTAAGCAATTCTGATCTCACTCTCTTTCTGATTACAGATTTTTCAGAATTAACACTAAACGGTAGCCTGGAAGAAAGGATATCCTTTACTAACATGGTTACCTGCAGCCAGGTGCATTTCAAGTGAAGTGTGCTGATGAAATCCTCTATAAGGTATTTATGTTCACCTTTTAGTCCCTTTGTCAAATACTTTGTAATATGTACCTTACATTTGGTTCTTTCTACAATATCAATGTTGATTTACTACATTAGGAATAGAGATTATTAGTAATCACATAAAAGGCTTACCAGTTGTTACTGAGCAGTGTAACTCTTTAATTTTCTTTCTACCTTTTGTAGTCAACTTTTAACAGGTCAATTTAATCCTAAAAGCAGAGAAATAAAATAAAAAAAATTCTTGAGTGGTAATGTCTTTGCATTTAAAATCTGTGTACGTAGTAGAAAGTGAGTTTGATTTTGGAAACATTGATGGAAGAGAAAAACCCTGAACAGGCATATCGATTTGCCGTTGAAAGTGAAGTTTTGTTATAAACAATTTTATTCCAGCGCAACTATAGGACAAGCCCTAGATGTAAATAGTCTCCTTAAAATGTTTTGATTTGAGATCGTATTAACCAAAAGAATTAATGGAAATGACATTTTCTACTGTCTTACTCTTTTCTGGTGTCAGAAACAGTATTTGGTAAAATCAGATGAGTAAAATGCATGAGATTGTTCTTAAGCCATGTTTTATCCCCAAATAGATGGAAATTAATTAATTTTAGCATTTTAACATAGTTAAGAGTAAAATGAATCTTTATTATAAAAAACAAGATACTGAGTTACCTAGAAGATAAATAAAAAATAAACATATAATATTTATTTGAGGTATTTCATTGAATAAAGTAAGTTGAATTTAGTCGAAGTTGTCAGACTAAATTCAGACTAAAGTGTCAGAAGAGTGTACGTGCTCATTTACTTGGTACCCACTTCATACTTTTCTGTGGTTGGTTAATAATATTTACAACCTGGAAGGATTGTTATCTATAGATTTCTTTTCTCTTTTGAGACGGAGTCTTGCTCTGTTGCCCAGGCTGGAGTGCAGTGGTGTGATCTCAGCTCACTGCAACCTTCACCTCGCGGGTTCAAGCGATTCTCCTGCCTCAGCCTCCCAAGTAACTGGGATTACAGGTGCCCGCCACCATGCCCAGCTGGTTTTTCTATTTTTAGTAGAGACAGGGTTTAACCACCTTGGCCAGGCTCATCTCTAATTTCTGGCCTCAAGTGATTCACCTGCCTCAGCCTCCCAAAGTGCTGGGATTACAGGTATGAGCCACTGTGCCGGCCAGATTGATTTTATCTATCAGGTATAGGACAGTGCTGAGATGGCAATCATTTGAACATTAAAGTAATATTTCTGGACAGATTTTAGAGTGATAAACTATCAAGTCACAACAGTTTATATACTATGATCCCATTTTTGTAAATAATTCATAATATACATTCATTATATACAGCAACTTTTTTTTTTTTTGAGAGAAGTCTCGCTCTTGTCCCCCAGGTTTGAGTGCAATGGCTTTATCTCAGCTCACTGCAACCTCCGCCTCCCGGGTTCAAATGGTTCCTCTGCCTCTGCCTCCAAAGTAGCTGGGATTAAGGCACCTGCCACCACGCCTGGCTAATTTTTGTGTTTTTTAATAGAGACGGGGTTTCTCCATGTTGGCCAGGCTGGTCTCAAACTCCTGACCTCAGATGATCCGCCCGCCTCAGCCTCCCAAAGTGCTGGGATTACAGGCATGAGCCACCGCGCCCGGCCTATACAATGCAAAATCTTAATATTAACTTTAGGAGGGGTGAGATTACAAGTGATTTTTTTTTTTTATTTCTGCTTATTTTTATTTTCTAATTCTTAAATCCCAGCACAAGCCAAAAAGAGAAAGAGAAAAAAAGGTAATTATTGTAGAACCTGAAAACAGAAATATATGGAAACCCCTCAAAGTGGAAAAGGGAGGAAGATCCTGAAGATTCTCTTACGAAGCTCCAAAACTGATAATCCTGTCTCAGCTCTGCCTCCTCAGGAGGAGCATTAGTAGAACAGCAGTGATGAGGACGCAGACGGAGCAGACAGTAGGTACCACGATCTCTGTAACCATTTGCATGTGACTTAGCAAGGGCTCTGAAATGACAAAGAGAACGAGCACCACAAATGAGAACAGGATCATTTTAGTAAATACAGCTTTATCCCAAAAGCTTTAACTGTATTGGAAAAACTTAAAAAATACCATCCTCAAATTTTCTGATTCTTATTTGCCATGAAATAGAACTTAGTGAATTAAATGTTATTTGAAAATTTTATAGGAGCTTTGTAAATATTTCAGAAAATATGGGATAAATGCCTGAATTTGGTTCTTCTACAAGTGCTATAGTAAAGTCTAAATGTCTCTCAATACTTATACTTTGTAAATTTATCTCAGAATATTAGCAGCCATATTCCACAGTTCCTATAATTTTTATTGGGGGGGATTTGTGAAAGAAAAGTCCTTGGGAAACATTTCCAACTTTTCGAAGATGTTATTGTATATCTTAAGAAGTGTAGGAATTTGTATGTCGAAATTTTGTATGGTAATTCTTGTATAGTTAAAAATCTTTAAGAGTTAATGATAAGCATATGTTATGTGCTTTATTAATAAAATAGTGGCCACTTATGTAATACCCACTTTTAGTTTGTGTGTGGGTACTCTGGTTACTGAGATAAATAAAGTGCTGGACATCCTCACGTGGAGTTCACAGGCTCATGAGTGAATTCTGTACCTCGTTTCAACCTTGTTTATTTTAGTTTAATGGAATATACATTCTTAATATTGCCTGATTATTTAAATGTGTTGGGGGGGTGCATATGCTATATTGGCCTGTAAAAATAGCTAATTTGGTAAGATTTGGTCTCGTACCTTCCACCTCTGCTATCACATTAAAGATGAGTTTGTTAAAAAAGGAAGCATAGGCCGGGCGTGGTGGCTCACACCTGTAATCCCAGCACTTTGGGAGGCTGAGGCGGGCAGATCACGATGTCAGGAGATCGAGACCATCCTGGCTAACACAGTGAAACCCCGTCTCTACTAAAAATACAAAAAATTAGCCAGGCGTGGTGGTGTGCGCCTGTAGTCCCAGCTACTCGGGAGGCTGAGGCAGGAGAATGGCGTGAACTCGGGAGGCGGAGCTTGCAGTGAGCAGAGATCGTGCCACTGCATTCCAGCCTGGGTGACAAAGCGAGACTCCGTCTCAAAAAAAAAAAAGGAAGCGTATTTCTCTGATTGCCCTTACGGAGAAATAAAGATCAAATTCAAAGAAGCAAATGATACGTGTTGGCATTTCTTGATGCATAATTGCATCTTTGTTATTTGACATCTCTGATCCTTTTAGATCCCATTGCATAGGAAATGATGTCTTCTATGAAGACAGGAACCTTGTTCATTGCTGTATCTCATGACTTAAAACATTCCCTGGCAAATAGTGAGTGCTTAATAATTGCTTGCCGAATGAACAAATATAAGATCTCAAGTGTTCTTTTTGTCCTTCATCCCGGTTGGTATAGTGGTTGGCTTTTCCTCTCCTTGCCCAAGCCCACTATAACAAAAATAGTAGGTATATAAATTTGTAGTATGATTCTGCTTTTTGTTTTTTTGTTTTTTTTTTTTGAGACAGAGTCTCGCTCTGTCACCCAGACTAGAGTGCAGTGGTGTGATCTCAGCTCACTGCAGCCTCTGCCTCCCGGGTTCAAGCAATTCTCCTGCCTCAGGTTCCTGAGTAGTTGGGATTACAGGCACGCGCCGCCATGCCTGACTAATTTTTGTATTTTTAGTAGAGACAGGGTTTCATCATGTTGGCCAGGATGGTCTTGAACTCCTGACCTCAGGCGATCCACCCGCCTCAGCCTCCCAAAGTGCTGGGATTACAGGCGTGAGCCATTACGCCCAGCCTTATAGTATGATTCTGAAAGGATAAAACTTGAATGGATAAAATGGATAAAATGTTTATCTTTCATGGTAGATTAAATGCTTTAAAATGCTTATAAATAGAAATTTGACATTGCTTCAAAGAAACCTGATTTTAATCATAAGCAGTTTTGGAAGATTGACTTCAAGTAGAGCCAGATTTTGAGATTTTGATAATGATATGTGTAATTATTTAGTTTAATTATTAAAGGAAAACATTAAAATATACTGACTCACCTGCAGCAAGCCTCTGATTGTTGATAGAGCAAGTTTCCAAAGCTTTGAGGTACCAACTTTCCACCTAATAAAAACCCACTTGATAAGTAATGTTGTCTTAGACTAATTTTTTGCTGTTTCAAATCATTTTTGAAATAAATGTGGGGTAAAAGTAAATATTTTTAAAAATCTACCTGTAGTTTATGTTTCTAAATCATCTTGTAGTTTAAATTAGTTTATATTTACTGTACATCCATGTACATCATAGTGAGGGAGTCAGAGAACAGTCTTTATTCTTGAGTGTACAATCTAGTGCTTCTCTAATAACGTAAAAGTAGCAAATGCCTTATGGTTTTTAGTCACTGCTTACATTTAATAGTCCTACTGGGCTCACCTTAAAATAGTTTTGGTAAACAAGTGAAATTTACTTTTTAAAATTATTTTTATTAAGACACTCTATTTTATTTCATTTTTTAGAAACAGAGTCTTGCTCTGTTGCCCAGGCTGGAGTGCAGTGGAGTACTCATAGCTCACTGCAGCCTCAAACTCTTGGGCTCAAGTGATCCTCACACCTCAGTCTCCCAGGTAGCTGGGACTACAGGCGCGTCACCACATCCAGCTGATTTTTAAATTTTTTGTAGAAATGGGATCTTGCTATGTTGCCCAGGCCGGTCTTGACCGCTTGGCCTCAAGCAGTCCTCCCACTCCAGCCTCCCAAGGTGCTAGGGTTACAGGTGTGAGCCACCATGTCTGGCCAAGACACTTGAAATTATAGTTTATATTCCCTGCCAATAGGTGCAGCAACATAGAGAATAGAGAGCTGCTAGAAAAGTTTTCAGGTTATTGAAAATGTTTGGTAGATTCTAAAGGATTATTAAGTTTGATTACTTTAGATCTCATTTTGAAGCCAGTATGTGTGTATGGCTCTGCTGCATGGCTGGAAAATAGATGAAAATGATATGATAATTATACATTCAATTTACTTAACTGTTTTTTATATATGTTGAAAAATAGGTAGTATTTGTTTGCATTAAGACACAAGATTTAGGCCAGGCGCAGTGGCTCACGCCTGTAATCCCAGGACTTTGGGAGGCCGAGGTGGATGGATCACGAGGTCAAGAGATCGAGACCATCCTCACCAACATAGTGAAACCCCATCTCTACTAAAAATACAAAAATTAGCTGGGTGTGGTGGCGCGCGCCTGTGGTCACAGCTACTCGGGAGGCTAAGGCAGGAAAATCGCTTGAACCCAAGAGGCGGAGGTTGTAGTGAGTTGAGATCTCCAGCCTGGTAACAGAGTAAGAGTCTGTCTCAAAAAAAAAAAAGAAAGAAAAAGAAAAAAAAAGACACAAGATTTAGAATAATATTTAACTAGAAGTCTCTATTGTTTTTTGCCCTGTCATAACTTAAAGCAAATGGAACTCCTTCGTAACCTCTGGTAGTGCCCTTAGATTGAAGCTTACGTCAAGCTTGCTCCATTCTAAGCAAACGAGCAAAGGTGAAATAAAGGGCCATGCTGCATGCCCCTGTCCTCTTTCATGGAGGAAAGAGGAGACGTACTTGCCAAGCTCTGTGTGTGTTCCAGCTACCTAGCTCTTCTAAAGTTCAGAACAGATAACATTGATAATTAGGCCTACCTCTCTTGGATTGGGAAACCCATTGGCAATGATAATCTTCTTGTAATATTGAACTGAAGCCTTTGGATAGCGAGGCTTATTTCTGTCGTTAAATTCAACATAGTAGAATCCATATCTATCTGAGTATCCTTTCTCCCATTCAAACTTATCCAACAGAGACCAGGAAGTATACCCCTTTATATTAGCACCATCTTTTATAGCTGCAAAGACATTTTATTCCATTTTAAATATATTTCATTTACTTAGAAAAATAAAACTGTGAAGATAATGTTAAAAATGTTTTCATTTATGAGATGTAGAAGCAAGTTTCAGTCGATTGTGTGTTAGTCACATTTTGTCTCAGTTAAATGGGAAAACTGCAGACAATCTTGGTTTGTGTCTCACCTTTTAGCATTTCATTTATGTATCCTTTAAGGTACTGAATTCTCCACTCATCACATAATTGAGTACAGTGGAATTTTTGAGATGCTCCATTTTCCATCACATATATGGGAGGATTGCCGTATTGAGTCTGAAAGTGAGTCATAGCAACAAATATCTTAAAAATTCTGACCTACAGGTAGGTTTCTGAGTCAGAGGCTCATATAGGAACACATATTCAAGCCTGCCACATTCTAATCAAGTGTGTTTTTGGCATTTAGTAGATGTCAGATAACGTGCTTATTTAGAGATTATTGTAGGCGGGAGACAGGTTCATATAAAGGATGTATTTCTCAATAAATGAGCATTGTTGCCAGGCGTGGTGGCTCTCGCCTGTAATCCTAGCACTTTGGGAGGCTGAGGTGGGCAGATCACCTGAGGTCAGGAGCTCGAGACCAGCCTGGCCAACATGGTGAAAACCTGTCTCTACTAAAAATACAAAAATTAGCCAGGCGTGGTGGCATGCGCCTGTAATCCCAGCTACTTGAGAGGCCAAGGCAGGAGAATCACTTGAATCTGGGAGGAGAGGGGGCAGTGAGCCGAGATCGTGCCACTGCACTCCAACCTGGGTGACAGAGCAAGACTCTGTCTCAAAAAAAAAAAAAAAAAGAGCATTGTTGGAGGGGACATGTACTTTGGTCTTGTTCTTTGCCACATATTCCAGTTTAGCGAGAAGGACAGCAAAATAAATAAGGGATGTGAATTTTAGCTAAAGTTATATACATGCAAATGGTTGTGCATGGTAGACATGAGTCTGTAAGGCCTATATTTAGTAGCCTCTGAAGTATGACTCACTAGGTTTATTTTGTTTTATTAACTTTCTAATGTAGGCACCTGAGCTTAAGCTGTGAGAACATGAATTCAAGTCTAAATATCCTTTGAATAGCTTAATGTGATAATCACCTGAGCAAAGTTGAGGAGCCTCCTAAATCCCCATGGCACAGAATATAGCCATTTAGACCCCAGAGCTGGCCAGTTTGGGTCAACCAGCTCTATCAAGTCACGATCATTCTGGTAGCTGGGCCCCTGGCGGGAGGGGTTCTTCCTTTCCGTGATGTACCGAGTAGTGAAATGACCTAATCCCAAGAAATCAGATGTGCCTTTAATGTAGCTCTTCTCCTGGAGTGAGAACACTGGTAACCTTGACATCTCCAGGCCTTGCTCTGCACTCTTTCTTCCTTTTGAGAGAAAAAAGCAGAATTTAACAAAGGCTTATTTTCTCCCAATCACTGTGTTATATATCATGACGATAGTGACATCTTGACATAAAAGGTGGGCTTTAGGATTCATCTGCGTGGGAAGTATAACCTTAGCCATCCAAAGTGGGAGTTTTGAAATTTCAATACTGTCCAAAATATTTATAAGTTTATATTGCTTAAAAGTAGTATTTTCACAGATAATAAGTGGTATGTAGCCATCTGGAAAAAAAGTAGAGTTGGGCTTCTGTATTGTTCCTTACATTAAAAATGGGTAATTTGGCCAGGTGCGGTGGCTCACGCCTGTAATCCCAACATTTTGGGAGGCCAAGACGGGTGGATCACTTGAGGTCAGGAGTTCGAGACCAGCCTGGCCAACATGGTGAAACCCTGTTGCTACTAAAAATACAAAAAATTGGCCAGAAGCGGTGGCCCACGCCTGTAATCCCAGCACTTTGGGAGGCCGAGAGGGGCAGATCACGATGTTCAGGAGTTTGAAACCAGCCTGACCAACATGGTGAAACCCCATCTCTACTGAGAATACAAAAATCAGGCAGGTGTGGTGGCGCATGCCTGTAATCCCAGCTACTTGGGAGGTTGAGGCAGGAGAGTTGCTTGAACCTGGGAGGTGGAGGTTGCAGTGAACCAAGATCACACCACTGCACTCCAGCCTGGGCAACAGAGCAAGACTGTCTTAAAAAAAAACAAAAATAAAAAAAATTAGCCGGGCGTGGTGGCAAGCATCTGTAATGCCAGCTACTCGGGAGGCTAAGGCAGGAGAATCGCTTGAACCCTGGAGGTGGAGGTCGCAGTGAGCCGAGATCACGCCATTGCACTCCAGCCTGGGCAATGAGCAAAACTCCATCTCAAAAAATAAAAACTAGAAATGTGTAATTTTAGCTGCCTTTGGGAAGGGAACTGGAAGGCCAGTGATGGTATGTCCTATCTTTCAAAGTTGTAAAAGCATGTGTCCTCTCACTGACCAGTTCCAAATCTATTTACACTTTACTCACGTATAAAGGGATGTTTGTACAAGCATCTTCATTAGAGACTGAGCAGCAAAAGATTGGAAACAACCTAAATGTCTGTCAGTAGGGACCGGTTACGTAAATGATGAAATATCCATGGTACAACACTACGCAGCCGTTAGAACAAATGAGGCGGCACTTTCTATAGCAATGTGGAAAGCTTGCCAGGATATAGGTTTCCGTGAAAAAACACTTCAGAATGTTGCGTATAATCCTAAGCACATACACTGACACATATACAACCCATCTCTGGAAGTATACTTGCTTCTAGGGAGAGAAGGAGAGAGGCCTGACTTTTTAGTTCATACTTTTTGTACTTTAAAAAATTTGAAACGTGTCCAGGTGTGATCTATGCAAAAATGGCTTTTAATATATAAATCAAGAAAACAACATTTTCCATGAATTGATCTGAAATATAACCTTAAGAATAGTTCCAAAGAGGATAATAGTTTAGATAAAATGAATACAGAGTTTGTGTTATTAAATACCCTTAAGATATTAGCATAAAGCAAATAAAATATTGGCACTTTATTTCAGTTACATTTAGTGACTTAAGAAAAACCACCAGCTGTCGTCATTGTCCTTACACTAATACAATAGCCACTTGCTGCATATGGCTATTAAAATATAGTGACCGAAGGATTGAATTTTTAATTTTAATTTTTAAAATTCTGATAGACGCTGGTGGTTAGAAGCTATTGTATTGGACAGCACATGTATAGAACATTTCTGTCGTTGTGGAAAGTTCTATTGAACAGCACTGATCTGGAAATACTTTTGTTTATGTATTTACTGTGAGTAAAAGAGTACTTCTGAGAGGCCTGGAAGTAATTTGTGAACAAGATTTCAGGCAGAATGCTTTCAGTACTAAATAAAACTTCAACTGCTTAGAGGATCCTTCTTTCTACATTGTGCAAAGGAAAAGTTCAGCCTGTTTCCCACTTGTATCATCATAGAATTGGAGTTGAGAGGGGCTGGGATTATTGGCGTTAAGCCCAAAATGTGCTGTCTCGCAAATTATCTATTTGGCTTTGTAATGCAGTCTTTCTGTGGCACCTGCAATGGCCTCTGAGGGCCCCAAGAGAGTGAATGCACTGTGTGAATGATAAGTCGTGTCTACAGGGACATGGGCCCTGACAGTCCCTTCATGAAGGCTTTTTCCTTATGCATCTTGAGGAAACTATTCTCAAGATTTTGAGTGTATGTGTATAGATGTGTCACAGAACTGATTGACACCAAAAGATTTTTAAAGATTGTATCTAATGCCTTCATTTTCAGATAAGATTAAGAACCAAAGAGGTGAAGCACCTTGCCCACAGTCACTCACAAGTTAGTGGCGGAGTTGGTATTAGAACTTGCTACCTCCTGTTCAGATAAGTATGTTTGATAAATGTGTTTTATAGAAAGGGGCATTTTTCAAATGTTGACAGTTCTCTCTTAATCAAACACCTAAAATAGCTTTGTTGTGTGTAACGGTAACCCAATTCCAGTGTTATTTTTGTCTCCTTTTTTTTAGGGTGAGTGCCAGCTGATACCTTTAAATCAGAGATAATATGTTTAAATTTCTATGGTCAGACACTGCCGGTTACCTACACCCAGCAGTCAGTCCAATGCCTGTCTTCCATGCCCCCTTCCTCCCCAGCCTCTGGGGCCCTAGTTGTGATGGTCTAGGGCATCATCTGACCTAACCATGTGACAGTTCTGTCCCTTGAGGCACAAAGGGACAGAAGCTGCTTCCTGGGAAGATTTTTCTTTTTCCTAAAAATAGCTAAGAAGAATGGCCAGGCGTGGTGGTTCATGCCTGTAATCCCTGTACTTTGGGAGGCCAAGGTGGGCAGATCACTTGAAGCCGGGAGTTTGAGACCAGCCTGGCCAAGATGGTGAAACCCCGTCTCTACTAAAAATACAAACAATTGGCTGGACATGGTGGTGTGTGCCTCTGATCCCAGCTACTCAGGTGGCCAAGGCACAAGAATTGCTTGAATCTGGGAGGCGGAGGTTGCAATGAGCCAAGATTGCACCACCGCACTCCAGCCTGGTTAACAGAGTGAGACTCTCTCTGAAAAAAAAAAAAAAAAAAAGGAACAAGAAAAGGATACCTGCATTCACCACTTCTATTCAACATAGTAATGAGAGTTCTAGCCAGAGTAATTATGCAAGAAAAATAAATAGAAGGCATCCAACAGTGGCTCATGCCTGTAATCCCAGCACTTTGGGAGGCTGAGGCAGGCAGAGGCGGATCACAAGGTCAAGAGTTCGAGACTACCCTGGCCAATATGGTGAAACCCTGTCTATACTAAAAATACAAAAATTAGGCCCTGGTGGCGGGCACCTGTAGTCCCAGCTATTTGGGAGGCTCAGGCAGGAGAATTGCCTGAACCCGGGAGGCAGAGGTTGCAGTGAGCCGAGATCATGCCACTGCACTCCAGCCTGGACAACAGAGTGAGACTCAGTTTCAAAACAAACAAAACTGTTTAGAAGAAAACATGGCCTGGTGTGGTGGCCCATGCCTGTAATCCCAGCACTTTGGGAGGCCAAGGTGGGCAGATAGCTTGAGCCTAGACGTTTGAGACCAGCTTGGACTACATAGTCAAACCCTGTCTCTACAAAATATACAAAAAATTAGTTGGGCTTGGTGGTGTGTGCCTGTGGTCCCAGCTACTTGGGAGGCTGAAGTGGGAGGATCACTGGAGCCCAGGGAGGTTGAGGCTGCAGTGAGCCATGATCGCCCCACTGCTCTCCAGCCTGGGTGACAGGGCGAGAGACCCTGTCTCAAAAAAATAAAAAATAAAAAAAATTACTGGCGTGACCCACTAGGGAGGCTGAGGTGGGAGATTCACCTGCGGTCAGGAGTTCAAGGCCAGCCCGGCCAACATGGTGAAACCTCATCTCTAGAAAAAATATGGCCGGGCGCGGTGGCTCAAGCCTGTAATCCCAGCACTTTGGGAGGCCGAGACGGGCGGAACACGAGGTCAGGAGATCGAGACCATCCTGGCTAACACAGTGAAACCCCGTCTCTACTAAAAAATACAAAAAAAATAGGCGGGCGAGGTGGCTGGTGCCTGTAGTCCCAGCTACTCAGGAGGCTGAGGCAGGAGAATGGCATAAACCCGGGAGGCGGAGCTTGCAGTGAGCTGAGATCCGGCCACTGCACTCCAGCCTGGGCGACAGGCGAGACTCCGTCTCCAAAAAAAAAAAAAAAAAAAAAAAAAATGGCAACACAGGTACATTTTATGTGTATTTTTCCACAATAAAAAAAACTGGGGGGAAAATGGCCAAGAAAGCCCACCCCAAAACATATTATGACAGAGCAATTCCCTTTTCCTGTCTTTGGGTGTTGACATGTGAAGATATGATACCTGGGGTTGCTGCAGTCATCTTGTGGTCATGGGGATTGGTTGATGGGCTAACGGAAGGTACCAGAGTGGAAAGATGGAATAAGCCTGGGTCCTCAAGGGCACCCTTGAAGGCTAGATTACCTAGCCCTGCATCACCCTTCTCTGGGCTCAGGTGAGATGATAAATTCCCTACTTCAAGTCATTTTAGGTAGAATTTTCTGTTATGTGGCAGTTAAAAACATCCAAATTGATATATCCCTGTAAGCCTTACCTGTATTTATTCTCTTCTCCAACACTGGAAAGTGAAGCTTGGAAAGTATTTCTCCATTGACAGAAAGAACCGACAATAGAAGTGACACAAGCCCATGACTGCGTCTGAGCTCTCTCCTGCTTGACTGCAGTTAAAGTGGGGTGGAGGAAGGGGCAGGGCAGCAGAACATAAGAGAGACCAGCCCAAAGAACCACCACGTTCTTCCCTGAGTTCTGAAAATTCTCAATTTCCAGGTCTAGGGAAATTGAGAGGTCTAGGGTTCCTCCCTGCTAACTCAAATGTGTGGTTCTCAATTCTTTCAAGTCTGGATTATCCCTTGAGTACCTCACCCAGGCCCGATGAGCTCTTCAACCCCCTGCCTTTTGCTTGTTTCACATGGGCTCAATAACTTGCTGTAGTATCTGCAGTTTAAAATGAGGCTGGGCTCACCAATGTAGTCCTTCATGACTTGGGGGTAGTCACCAGCATAAATGGGGTTGGCAAACCAGCCCAGACAGAACTGTAGGTATCTCTCGGCAGCCTCTATGTCCTTGGGGTTACTAATGTCCACAGGTTCCCCCCAGTCACAGTTCAATGAAATTCCCACCAGACCTTAAAAGAAAAGAAAGAAAAGGGAGTGGAGAGTGGGCGTGCCATTGCTGCTCCGGGTACTTGGCTGTCCTGGGTACATGTGTGGGGCCACAGCTCACCTTGCTGCTTGCTGCGCCACGTGGTGTTATAAGAATGCCAGGCTTGGGCGTGAGCCTGAAAAGGGAGCAGAAATGCATCGTAGGTGCCTGGCCCATCCATTTCAATCTGGGTGGCCTTTCTTTCCTTCCTAACTTTAGACCTATCATTTTCATCCATCCAGCCTTGTTTATCCCAATCCAGTCTTCCTTCCTCTAACTTCGTGAGGCACTTATTTTCTTTATACTGTAAATGAAACTTGATGTAAGTCTGGCTCAAACAACTTTGTTGTTATTTATCGTTTTTAGGATTTTTGCTAAAGTTTCCTGTTTTGTTCCTCTTAGTCCTCAGTGGCAACTAGGCAGTGCTTTTCCCAGAAGAGCTCAGTAAGTTAGGAAAAAACCAAGGGTCTGAAATAGTCTTGAAAAATGGAATCTAAAATACACCAACCTGCCTTCTCTTCATATTCTACCAGTGACCCGCTGGCCTGCCTGAGGCTATTTCAGCTAGCCACCGCACTTGGGTAGTTCGACACCTAAGAGAGATGGAAAGTCATCTAGAACAGTGATTCTCAGTGTGTGGTCTCCAGACCGAGATCATCAGGATCCACTGGGAACGTAATAGAAATGCAAATCCATGGGCCCTTGCCAGACCTACTGAATCAGAAACTCAAAGTGGGGCCCAGGAATCTGTGTTTGGTGGGTTTTTTTTTTTTTTTTTTTTTTTATCTTAAGATGGAGTCTTGCTCTGTGGCCCAGGCTGGAGTGCAGTGGTACGATCTTGGCTCACTGCAACCTCCGCCTCCCGGGTTCAAGCCATTCTCCTGCCTCAGCTTCCTAAGTAGCTGGGAGTACAGGTGCCTGCCACCACACCTGGCTGATTTTTGTATTTTTAGTAGAGATGGGGTTTCTCCATGTTGGCCAGGCTGATCTCGAACTCCAGACCTCAAGCGATCTGCCTGCCTCAGCCTCCCAAAGTGCTGGAATTACAGGTGTGAGCCACTGTGCCTGGCCAGCAATCTGTGCTTTAATAAACTTTTTTTTTTTTTTTTTTTCTTGAGATGGAGTCTTGCTTGTTGTCAATGCTGGAATGAAACTCCTAGGCTCCAGTGATCCTCCTGCTCAAGCGATCCTCCCTCCTGCTCAAGCCTCTCAAATAGCTGGGACAACAGCCATGTGCCACCACATCTGGCTCAGTAATCATTTATTAAATGATTATGATGCTTGTTAAAGTTTGAGAAGTACCAATTTAGAAGACCTGAATATCTGAAGGCTATAGAATTTGGGGTTGTTTTGTTTGTTACTCACGGAGAACCTTTATCAGACTTCGTTCCTTATACTTCCTTTTGCCAACCAGCAATAACCAAGTGAATCATGGTATTGTCTGATGAAGTGGAACATGTCAAAACAATAACAGAATCACATCTCTTCAGGCCGGGTGCGGTGGCTCATGCCTGCAATCCCAGCACTTTGGGAGGGTGAGGCGGGTAGATCACGAGGTCAGGAGTTCAAGACCAGCCTGGCCAACATGGTGAAACCCTGTCTCTACTAAAAATACAAAAAAATTAGCCGGGTGTGGTGGTGTATGCCTGTAATCCCAGCTACTCAGGGGGCTGAGGCAGGAGAATGGCGTGAACTCAGGAGGCAGAGGTTGTAGTGAGCCGAGATCGTGCCACTGCACTCCAGCCTGGGCGACAGAGTGAGAATCTGTCTCTAAATAAATAAATAATAACATCTCTTCAGCTCACTACTTTTGATAGATAAAAAGGCCCAGAAAATGACTTCCATGTTTAATATTAAAAATATCTTGAGGCCGGGCACTATGGCGCATGCCTCTAATCTCAGCACTTTGGGATGCCGAGGTGGGGGAATCACCTGACGTCAGGAGTTCAGGACCAGCCTGGCCAACATGGTGAAACCCTATCTCTATCAAAAATACAAAAATTAGCCAGGTGTGGTGGCACATGCCTGTGGTTCCATCTACTTGGGAGAATGAGGCAAGAGAATCACTTGAACCTGGGAGGCAGAGGTTGCAGTGAGCCAAGATCATGCCACTTCACTGCATCCTGGGTGACAGAGCAAAACTCAGTCTCAAAAAATATAAAAATAAAAATATCTTGAGAGCTCTGCCCTTTAAATATTCAGTTTAAGAAATCATAAGCCAAATGTAGAAAAAATGAGAAAATGTTCTCCCTGATATGAGTTTGGGGGTCTGGAATGTCACCCAGTGGTTCCTTGCCTTCCAGCTTAGACAGATTGTCCACCTTCTGCTAAGTGTCCTTTGGGGCCAATCCCACATGCCTTGTATCCCTGTTCTCCAGTTATCATCATCCATATCCTCATACATGTCCTGTAATGTGACCCAATTCCCTCTCCAGTGACAAGGCTTTCCAGTAGCCCTTCCTTCCTGTAGCGTCTTCTCCGAATGGCCCCTTTCCTCTCTTGCTGTGGCTGATGCCTGCCAGCCCTAAGAGCACCTCCACTGCAGCTCCTTTGAGCAGAGGCCATTTTTTCCATCACACTCCACATCCCTCTGAGCTGGGAGTAAGGTGGAATCTGCCTGCTCATTATCGCTGCTTCCAAACTAGTTTTCCTTCCTCCTTCAAAACTCCCAGGTTCTTTGAAGCCACGCTCTGATGACCACTTCTAACCTCTCTTACTGCTGTCCTTGATCAACCCCAGTTACTTCCGCTCATTCATGGAAGATTTTAACCCCTGGCTCGCTGTCACATCCCTTCTTCCTCCTGTCACAGCTTGGACCTGTAGTTGATGCATTTCCACATGGATGTGCTCCATCCCCTTGGCTAGGCTGTAAGCTCTTGGGAGCCGCTATAACAGCTCAGCCTTAGTGTCCCCCAGCGCCCTGAATGGCAGGACACGCCCTCCATAAATCGTCACAGAAAGGAAGGTGCTATGGAGTATGCTGACTCGGAGGTGGAGTGGCAGAGGACCAAGCTCAGGCTAGAGCCCCTGGGAAGGCTGAGCTGACCCTGAGGCTGTTCTCCCACCAGAAGGACCCCCCTCACCTTAATGATGTGGTGTGCTGCCTTGTACAGGCCGGTGCCTCGGAGCTTCAGGCCCGGTGCATGGTGGCCCGTCTCATAGCCTTTTTCTGCCATTGCCTATAGGGACAGCAAAGCAGGACCACAGGATCCATAAGAAGTGGCAGGGAGCGCCACATTCTGCCACCTGGAGGGGCCTCGCTTACCCGAGGATCACTGAACGTGATCCAGTGCTTCACACGGTCCCCAAAGGCCTCAAAGCACAGGTTGGCGTAATCTCTGAAGTGGTTGGCCATGCTCACATTCTGCCACCCACCGTATTTGACCTGGAGCAGCTGTGAACACAGAGAAGCAGGTGCCCCATGAATGAACCGCAAAGTAGTTTAGATGTGGAGATAAGCTGTGCCACAGTCCTCAGACAAACAGGAGGGAGGCCGCGCAGGGAGACTGGGACTCTCATGCTTAGAAAGAACTGGACAAATTGAATATTTAAGAAAAATTGCCAGGGGAAAGGGGCCTAATAATGGGGAAGCATCTTAGATCTAAGTTCTGGAGAAATGAGATCTGATGCTGGGGTGAACACTGTGATGAGGATTTTGAGGGCCACGGAGATGTCAGAAAGCTCCTAGAAGCCTTGGGGCAGGATCTGCCTTCTTCGGCCGAGGGCTTTCCCAACCAAAGGCATCTGCCCATGATGGCAGAATCCTCCCAAGACTTGTCACTCTATCGAGACTACCTGTCCAGCTCTCCTTGGCGGGTTCGAGGGATGTTACTGGGACAGGTTCGTGAAAGCAACCAGGGAAGAAACTGGAAGGTTCATCTCCCTACAGCCTGCTCTGCCCTCCTCCCCAGTTAGAGGACTCTGGTAGCTCCCATTCCCACAGAATAAACCCAGTTCCCAGTCATCTTAGCTCGGCACTTGAGGCTTTTGAGGTCTTCCCCAAGCCACTTCTCCAGCCTCTAACCCTTCCCTCTCCTACCTGCTCCCCAAATTCTAACTGAACCAAACTGCTTGCCCAGCTTCCCCCTCTTTGCAATGCACCCTCCAATCAGAACACCCCTTCCTCCCACCTCCTGCCCAAACCTTCCAGGGCACCGATGGGACCACCTTCTCCCCAGTGAATGAAAATATTGCCTGAGGCCAGGCGCAGTGGCTCACGCTTGTAATCTTAACACTTTAGGCGGCCGAGGCAGGCAGATCACCTGAAGATAGGAGTTCGAGACCAGCCTGGCCAACATTGTGAAACCCTGTCTTTACTAAAAATACAAAAATTAGCCAGGCATGGTGGCACATGCCTGTAATCCCAGCTACTCGGGAGGCTGAGACAGGAGAATCACTTGAACCCAGGAGGCAGAGGCTGTAGTGAGCCGAGATCATGCCACTGCACTCCAGCCTGGACGACGGAGCAGGACTCCATCTCAAAAAAGAAAAAAAAAAAAAAAAGAAAATACTGCTTGAATCACAGTGACATAGTGACGTTCTGAAGCATGTTATGATTTCATGGACATTACTGGCGCAGGGTCATATATGAGTGCCTGTGATACGGCTCAAAGAAATTGGAGAAAAAAGGCTAAACTTGTTCATTATGCTATGTCGCCAGATCTCTTTTTTTTTTTTTTTTTTATAGATGGAATTTCGCTCTCATTGCCCAGGCTGGAGTACAATGGCACGATCTCAGCTCACTGCAATCTCTGCCTCCTGGTTCAAGCAATTCTCCTGCCTCAGCCTCTCAAGTAGCTGGGATTATAGGCACCGCCACCACGCCTGGCTAATTTTTGTATTTTTCGTAAAGACTGGCCGGGCTGGTCTCGAGCTCCTGACTTCAGGTGATCCACCCACCTCAGCCCCACAAAGTGCTGGGATTACAGGCGTGAACCACTGCACCTGGCTGCCAGATCTTCGTTAAGACGTATCTTTATAGTTTTAAAAATTCGTTTGTATGCCAAGTTTTTTAGAAAACAAAAGGATTCACTCTTTTCACTTACTACACACATCAATTAAAGCAGTATGACCTCCCTGCCATACATGAGTGCTTTGGTTTGAATGTTTCTGTCCCCTGGAATTCATGTTGAAACTGTATCCCCTGTGTAACAGCATGGGGAAGTGTAGCCTTTGGCAGGTGATTGAGTCATGAGGGCTCTTCTCTCTTGAATGGGATTAGGTGCCCTTATAAAAAGAGGGACACAGCATTCAAGGCACCATCCTGGAAGCAGAGACTGGGCCAGAATCTGCACCTGCCAGTGTCTTAATCTTGGACTTCCCAGCCTCCAGAACCGTGGGAAGATATATTCCCGTTCTTTACAAGTTACCCAGTCTCAGGCGTTCCGTTATAACAGCAAAAGTGGACTAAGACAGTGAGTCAGAGAGATTTTTCCACTCACTCACATCTTACAGTCGTGCACCAGAATCCAGACCCTAGTCTCTGCCCCACCTGGGCAACCCGAGTCCTCAAACTGGGCTCCCTCCTGCTGAGCTGAGCACCGCTTGGGCCTGGGAACCTGCTCGGGTCCTCACCTGCGGCAGATCCCAGTGGTGCAAGGTCACGATGGGGGTGATGTTGCTGCTCAGAAGGGCATCGATAAGATCACTGTAGAATTGGATTCCCTTCTTGTTCACCTGCTCGGCTGCAGGTGAAATAAAAGAAGATGCTACGAGAAAGGACCTTGGCCTTGGCCTTGGCCTTCTGGAGTGCAGCATTCCTGGGCCCTGTTGCTTTTTGAAGGCCTGAGGTACCCTCAGCCCACCAGCATTCTGGGAGCCCAGTTACCTGCAGAACCTGTGAGAGCTGCTACTATCAGCAACCACGTTCATGGGCTGGTCTCCCTCCCCAGGACTCTGTGGTGCCCCTGCAAAGCCAACATGGCCGGAAGGGGCCGCACCTGGGCTCAGGAGGGGTTTCCCTGGCTCACCTCGGACGCCTGTGGGCAGGAGCCGGGGCCAAGACAGGGAGAATCGGTAGTGGTTGACGTGCAGTTCCCTCAGCAGAATGATGTCCTCCTGTGCAGACAGGGGTGGGGAAGCAGGTCACCGGGGCCCTGGGCATGGGAGGTTGGGGTCCATCGGGCTCTAGGGCCGAGGCTCACTCTTGTCTGTGGCTGTTGGTGGGCAAGGAAGAACCTGCTTCCTCACCTGTACAACAGAGGTGATGCCACCTGGCCACTTCAGGCAGGGGATATGCCAAGAGTCAAAGAAAACACAGGACAGGGAGGCACTTGGAAAAGTCCATCAGGATGCCCCTAGTATACCTGGGTGATGAGTTCCTCAAGAAGCCATCCAGAGAGGAAAGTGGGTGCTGAGGATGAGCGGGTCCCACTCCCTCCACACGGTGCAACTCACAAGCAGGGACCAGGGGTTCAGGCCACTGTGGCTGTAGGCCCTGAAGCTGTGGGATCAGTCCTTCAGCCCCCGTCACTTGGCCTGAGGCACTGGCTCAGGTGAGGCCCCGCTTTCCTTTCCTTCTACATCCACCTCACATCCTGGCCCCTCCCAAACCTTCACCCCCACTGGCCCTGTCCCCTCTGGCTGCACTGGGGTACAGGGTGTTTGGCAGAGCATGGGAATGACGTTGTCACGAGGGCTCCCCCAATACGTCACTCCCTGCCTCCCAGCTAGGCATGTGCTCACACCTGTGCACGCACACACACACACCCCGCACTCACCTGGACCTTGTAGTAGCCATCACAGGCTACATCTGCTGTCTCATTCCCGAGCACCTTCCCCTTCCCACTGTGTGTGAAGACGTCCCATATGCTGGGCCCTTTTCCGTCCTGGTCCCAGGCGCCCTCCGTCTGGTAGGCAGAACTGCCCACGCCCCAGGAGAAGCCTGCAGGGGGAGACCCGTGCTGGGTCCCAGGTGCTCCCATGTGTCACCCAGAGCCAGGGCTCCGGGCTGTGCCTCCCAGGCCTCAGGGACTGCCCCTCCGTACCACGCTGCCCCTGTCCCACTGGGGCCTTATCTTCCTAGGAGGGTGAGCGTGTGAGGCAGGGTAGGGGAAGATATATTAAAAACATTTTTTGCACAATTTTAGCTCTAATTAGCATGTATTATCTGTGTAATTTTTAGTAACTTCAAAAAAAAAAAAAAAAAAACCTGTTAGGAACTTTTAGAACAACCATGCAAAGGTAGGTTTCTCATCCTGCCAATCAGGAAGCAAGAATACCAAACTCCTTGGCAAGTCAAGACAGGTGGACAACAGACAGGCAGACAGACGAACAGAGGCGTGGCCGTACCAAGAGGGAAGTTTCCATAGTAGAAGGAGGCCTCTTCTGGGGACCCCTTCCCGGTGGCCCCAAGCCCGAGCACCAGCAGTAGCATCCACAGAAGGGTGGTGACCCGCACTGGCTTCATGGTACCTGGCCCTCCCCCATACCTGAAAAAGTGCAGCTGGCTCTGCAGGCGCCTGCAGCCAGCCTGGTGGCCAGGTCTTGGCTTAGGGCAAAGGCCAAGTGGAGAGAGGAAGGGAAAGGAGAGCACTTGATCCCGACCCAGCAGCAGAGGCTGAGGCTGGACGCCTGATGCTGTTCCTGTGCCTGGGGAGCTCCGAGACTGATGGGCAAGACTCCAAACCATCCCTTCTCCCTACCTTGGCTCCTGTCTGACGGGGGAGACCCAGCCCATACCCCTGAGTGGCCTCTATCTAAGGGGGAACCACCTCTACCTTAGGGAAGCTCCAGTCTTAGGGGGCAGGTGGGAAAGCCCACAGGGCCCTTTGGCTCTCCCATCGACAGGCAGACCCCTCCCCCAAGCCCAGGTCGCCCATCCCAGCGCCTCTGTCCTGCGCACCAGGGAGACCCCTCCCACTGGAATCTACTCTTTGGTGCCAGCCCAGCCAGCTTACCCAGGATCGTCCTTGGTCCCAGACACCCCCAGAGCAGTCGCTGGCAGCCAGAGCCCTCTCCAACTGACCCCTAGGGCCTACGCTGTCCCCTGAGAGAGGAGCCACAGCCCAGCCGAAGGCTCTGGTTGGGGGTGTGGTCTGTGGCTACAGAGACTTTCAATAGCTCCATTCAGTGGGGGCCGGGCAGGAATGCTGAGCTGGCCAGCAGGGCCTGAGTCAGCAGCTGGGGAGCTTGGCGCTGGGCCAGGGGCGGGCGTGGGGGGGCAGGGGAGCTATCAATCAGCACCCCCATCCCGGGACAGAGGGGCAGCCAAGGAGGGGAGGAGAGCTGCTCCTCCTTACCCCTTATGGGCCTGACAAGTCACCTTCAGCACACTGCAGTCCTTCGAGTCCTGAGCTGGGGGTGGTGCAAGACCAGTGTATGTTGCCATGTGTCTCTGTCTACTTGTCCCAGCTGCCAAAAAAAAAACCCACCGTAAAAGATACAGTTGGTTTTTCCACCTTGGCCTTCTCTATTTGTATCCCTCATTCATTCCTTTCCTCACTCATTCATTCAACCAACATCACCTGCTAGAACGGCCCGCCCTGTAGTCTCAGCACCTCCTGCCCCCATCTGCTGTGGCTCCCTTCCCTGCAGTGCCCTCCCCATCAGAAAGGCCTCCTTCACATAGCTCAATTTCCAACCTCCCTGCCTTCAGCTGAGCCCTCACCACAGCTCTCTCAACTAGGCCTTACTGCTTTGTTGTTGGTTAATTTCTTTGTACTCTTCCTTTGGGTCTTCAATGGGTAGCACCTCCTCCAGGAAGCCTTTCTGGATTCATGCACCCTCTGGCCAGGCTAGGTTCTCTGGATTTTGTCTTTTTTTTTTTTTTCCTTTCTTTTTTTTAAACAGGGTCTTTCTTTCTTTCTTTCTTTCTTTCTTTCTTTCTTTCTTTCTTTCTTTCTTTCTTCTTCTTTCTTTCTTTTTTTTTTTTTTTTTTTGAGGCGGAGTCTCGCTCTGTCGCCCAGGCTGGAGTGCAGTGGCGCGATCTCGGCTCACTGCAAGCTCCGCCTCCCGGGTTCCCGCCATTCTCCTGCCTCAGCCTCCCGAGTAGCTGGGACTACAGGCGCCGCCACCACGCCCGGCTAATTTTTTTGTATTTTTAGTGGAGACGGGGTTTCATTGTGTTAGCCAGGATGGTCTCGATCTCCTGACCTCGTGATCCGCCCGTCTCGGCCTCCCAAAGTGCTGGGATTACAGGCTTGAGCCACCGCGCCCGGCCTTCTTTCTTTTCTTTCTTTTTATTCTTTCTTTTCTTTCTTTCTCTCTCCTTCCTTCCTTCCTTCCTTCCTTCCTTCCTTCCTTCCTTCCTTCCTTCCTTCCTTCTCTTTCTTTTAAACAGTGGCATGATCACAGCTCACTGCAGCCTCGAACTCCTGGGCTCAAGTGATCCACCTCAGCACCCCAAGTAGCTGGGGCTATAGGCATCCACCACCATGCATGGCTAATTTTTTGTAGAGATGGGGCCTTGCTATGTTGCCCAGGCTGTCCCTGGGTTTTCCTACAGCCTGCGTCTACCCCTCCCACCCTGAGCTTCCACATCAGCTGTTTATGTCTGTCTCCTGCCCCGTTGTAGGCTCCTGGGAGGCAGGAGTGTGCCTGCCTGGTTCATCAGCATCCAGTCCTCTAGTGCTGCCACCTAGTGGACGCTCAATAATGTGAGTAAAATCGAAATAATACAATAATGAACCTAACCATGGCGAACGTTGATTGGGTGCTTCCTAAGGTCCGGAGATTTTCATGTATTAATTCATCAACCCCTGGGATAAGGTGATAGACGCAGCTTCGGCTGCGGTGGGGCGGAAGGTTCCGGGCTCCAGCAAGGGCAGGCTTGTACTGCTGTGTGGACAAAAGCTGGCCCCATCTGGACTGACCCCGGCCTCGTGGTGGCCCTGCTCTGAGGGTGGTGCTATTACTGGACCCGTTTGAGGTTGAGGAAACTGGAGAGCTCCTTCAGGCCTCGCTACCTAGCAACTGTGCGGAGGTTTGCTGAGGGAGGCTGGGGGTGGTGGGGTGGGTTTGCTGCGGGGAAGGCTTCTTTCCTGGGGTGCCCAGCTGGTGGACGGGGCCAGGTCCCTTGGGCTTTCCCTGGTGATGCCTGTGGTGAAGGCACTAAGATATTTATTCCCAAATTCTGACGTTCCCCAGGCGCTTTCATGGGGGCAGGAGTGATTCTCAAAGTAGATGCCAGGGCTGGGTCCCTTATCAAAAATGTAGTGATTGGATGGGGGTGTGTCAATAAGGATATTTCCCCTACCAGATTTCCTACCTGTCTGCCCTCTAGCCTTTCCTCAAGAAACATTTCCTGAGTCCCCAAGAGGCCCTGGCCAGAGTAAAGTAGGACTTGGCCTATGCCCTCTGGAGCTAGGAGTCTCATGAGGACAGGAGGCGAGCATGGAGGGGAATGGGGAGGTTCTGGATGTTGTGCAGGGTGGCCAGGGCTGTAATGGATGGAGGGATGGAACGCTGAGAGGCTCGGGGTGTGGGGCTGGCTTCGAAGGGACATGACACTTGAAAGATGCAGAGACATTTGCCAGGCGTTTGTGGAAGCACACAGTGGGGAAGGCATTGGAACAGGTGGAAGGACAGCAAGAGTAAAGGCCCTGAGATATGTTTCGGGACCTGGGAGGCTGGTATCTTCTCTCCGCTTGCATCTGCCCTCCAGTGCCCAGGCAAGGCTGTGTCCTAAGGGGTGAGCAGGCCGCTGGACAGGCGAGTGGGCTCTGGGGACTCTGTTCCTTGGGCTGAGGTAGGCAGGAAATATATGACTTTAAGAGCTGATGGTAGCCCGGCATGGTGGCTCACGCCTGTAATCCCAGCACTTTGGGGGCTGAGGTGAGCAGATCACCTGAGGTCAGGAGTTCGAGACCAGCCTGGCCAACATGGTGAAAACCCATCTCTACTAAAAATATAAAAATTAATGGCCGGGCATGATGACTTACGCCTGTAATCCCAGCACTTTGGGAGGCTGAGGCGGGTGGATCACCTGAGATCGGGAGTTCAAGACCAGCCTGATTAACATGGAGAAACCCTGTCTCTACTAAAAATGCAAAATTAGCTGGGTGTGGTGGTGCATGCTTGTAATCCCAGCTACTAGGGAGGCTGAGGCAGGAGAATCACTTGAACCCGGGAGGTGGAGGTTGCGGTGAGCCAAGATTGCGCCATTGCACTCCAGCCTGGACAAAAAGAGCAAAACTCCATCTCAAAAAAATATATATAGATATATATAAATGTATATAAATTAGCCGGGCATGGTGGCACATCCCTATAATCCCAGCTACTCGGGAGGCTAGAACCCGGGAGGCGGAGGTTGCAGTGAGCCTAGATCGCACCAATGCACTCCAGCCTGGGTGACAGAGTGAGACTCCATCTCAAAAAAGAAAAGAAAAGAAAAGGGCCGGGTGTGGTGGCTCAAGCCTGTAATCCCAGCACCTTGGGAGGCCGAGGCAGGCGGATCACAAGGTCAGGAGATCGAGACCATCCTGGCTAACATGATGAAACCCTGTCTCTACTAAAAATACCAAAAATTAGCCAGGTGTGGTAGTGGGTGCCTGTAGTCCCAGCTACTCGGGAGGCTGAGGCTGGAGAATGGCGGGAACCTGGGAGGTGGAGCTTGCAGTGAGCTGAGATCGCACCACTGCACCCCAGCCTGGGCGACAGAGCAAGACTCCGTCTCAAAAAAAAAAAAAAAAAGTAAAGAAAAGAAAAGAGAAAAGCAAAGCAAAGCAAAGCTGATGTCATCTCTGAAAAATGCCCCCTTCCCGAGGAGCCAGAGCCAGTGTTTGTGTTGGAGGGGCTGGTCAGCCGGCCTGGGGTCTGGCTGCAGACACAGCCTCCATCATTCTGAGACCGTTTTCCTCCCATGGACTCCAAGCCTGGCTCTGGCTGGAATGAGGGTGGATAAGCCCCTGCACTGCTCTAAATGTGTCCCCGAAATTCATATGTTGAAACTTAGTCACTGATGTGATAGTATTAAGAGGTGGAGTCCTCAGGGATGGGATTAGTGACCTCATAAAAGGGCTGGAGGGAACCTGCTGGGCCCCCTTCATCCTTCTGTCCTTTCCCCCATGTGAGGACACAGTGTTCGTCCATTCAGGAGGGTTCAGCCACAGGGCATCACCTTGGAAGCAGAGAGCAGACCCCACCAGACGCAAACCTGCTGGTGTCCTCATCTTGGATTTTCAGACTCTGAAACTATGAGAAGTATGCTTCTGTTGGTTTGTAAATGACCCGGTCTGAGGTATTTTGTTATAGCAGCACAAGTGGACTAAGCCATCGCCGCCTTCCCCTCCTCCATATGCACTCCCCTGAAGCTGCCTAGGCCCTGTCTAAGGCCTGGGCTCCCAGTGCTTGGCCAGGTTGAGACCTTTCCCTTAGCAGTGGGGCCGAAGTCCCTGAGGCCAGGCCTTAAGTGGCTCTTGGGCCTCTGTGGCTTCCTTTTCTTCCCTCCCTGCAAGGGGCTGCAGGGGTGGGGGCCCAGGCCATAGCCTGATCCCTTTTAGAGACAGTAGTGACTTTTAGAGACAGGCTTTGTAAAGGCAAAGGGTCTGGTCCTCAGTTCTGGGAGCACGAAGAGGGTGATTGCTGGGGAAGGTCCCAGCCTGCTCTGTGCCTCAGGATCATCAGAAGCAAATCGAGGAGTGGTAGTGAGAGCACACTGGAGATTCAGGGAAACTGAGGCCCACCTCCATCTTGCCAGGAACTGACTGTGGGATCAATGCCAGGCACTTCCTCTCTCTGGGCCTGAGGCTCCCATCCATAAACTGAGAGCCTGTCTTTCGGGATCATCCCAGTAGACACTGCTGGGCCCAGCTTCAGCAGTTCTCTTCTCTGGCCCTAGGAGCTGGTCTTTCTCCAGCGGGGTCTCTCAGTCCCCCACCCCAACCTCCCCAGTCTTCACACCACCAGCCCAGCAGTTCAATTCAGCCCTGCCCAGCCCTGAGCTAAGGGAGCAAGCCTCAGGGTCAGAATCAGGAGCAGGAGACAAGGTTCAGTTCTGCCTACTGAGTGACATTGGACCTGCCATTGTCCCATGCTGGGTCTTCATTTCCTCCTCAGTAATGAAGAGGAGGCTGGCTACAGATGTCTGA